TTTTTTTTCTTCCAAATTATCACCTAATGTGTATTCAAAACTCTATTCTTCAGCATTACAGCCAAATATCATAAGAAACTACATATACACTTTACTTGCTAGGAACCCTGAAAAGCAAAACTGAATCAACATTAAGTCAGATGCTTGTAGTTACATGAAAGGTTGTTTTCACTGTAGTTTGAAGTGAATGCAATAGAAAGAGCGAAGATGTGGTTGCTAAAGAAGCAATGCCATTGCAGAGATTTATCTGAAGGAAAAGTTGTAGAAATATATGTAAAGACTTAAAACCAAGACTGTAATAACCCATCGCTAGCCCTTTTTAGCAGCTACATCAAGAAAATAGTATCTCCTCTTTCTTTCCTTTGGTACATGTAGCATCCTTGTTGTTTTCTACTGTTTAATTACATTGTGTGTTTATAGTTCTATGCTTACCATTGTGCATATACTGGCAATAAAATGTACATAACATTACTTTAAAAATTGGCAATGTATACATTCTGGTTTTCTGTTTTATTTGATCACATGCTATAAGAAAAATTATAAATGTGATTGATACAACATTGGTTAAAAAAATAATCTTAATATTCATGTTTTGTGTGTCCAAATGATGTTTCTTTATATACTCTTGTTACTAAATCTGACTTGGCATTTGAGAACATGCTGTGAATATAGGTATGCTAGACAAAAATGGTTTTTGGAAATGACTAGAATCTTTATGAAACACCCCATTTCCTTCATCTAGGCAGGTTTCTTATTTACTGTTTCATTTATTTATACATTATACATTGTTTGCATTTTTTTGTTTTGTATTTCAAAAATGTTTTTCAGTCTACAGTCTTGTAGTTCACATTTTGATTATACGAAAGGTCGCTTAAAAAAAAAAACAAACACAAATTCTGAGCTTAATAGTCCCGTATGTTATTCTGCGTTTTCTACAGGTAATATTTCTTTTCAGATGATCATTTCAAGATGACTGCTGTTTGTCATCTGTTTGAGGATGCTATTTCGTACTGCAAAAATAAGTTACTGAAACATACAGTATATATTTTGGATGAATCTAATTTTTTTTATGTGTAAACAAAAGTTGGTAAGAAAGAAATGTTTTTATCCCTTATATGACTGAAAATTTTTTGCTCCAGGTAGGGGGAAAGAAGATATTTACACAAAGTTTGTCTCTCAGATTTATTTCTAAGCCATCTTTAAGTGTTCTGTGTGTGGATATCCCATGTATTAAAAAAGCTAAATGAAATATATTTAAATGAATATTTTACTTATGATATGACTAGTTCTGTTTCCAAGAAAGATGAGGCTGCAATAGTGGATAGAATCTGTTTATATTACCTGGTGCCATCAGAATCTAAGAATTTGCAACAAAATTATTTGCACCACAGACAGTTATCAGATTCACTGCATTGCTTTTTTGTCTTCATTTCCTATATAATAAATAGACATTAGCTAAGTTAAATTTGAGCAATGATTAGTCATGCCTTATGTTCCTGCTGGAGGTGGTTTCTCTAATGGATTAGCATAAAGATCTGGGGAAAATTAGGACAATTATAAGTTGCTGTTGTTTCAGGGAGGGTTTATGTTCTTTCTAATATTCTGTAAAGATGGGCCATTGCAATGATTTGAATACTGAAATGTAATTCTTAAAAGTTGGGTTTGGGCTTAAAAAAGAGGAAGAAGGAAAGCAAGCTACATGCAGAATCAGAATAGGAAATGCATGTCTTGGATGCCTCTGAGTTGGATGTCATTTGCTTTAAAGAACTTTGAGTAACACACTTATGTTCAGCTGAGGTCTTAGCGAGGAAGTTGGGGTAGTAAATGTAAATTGAAAGGAGAGCTGATCATGTACATTTTCCTGAGTTTGGTTGCTTGTTTGTTTTTGAAGATAAAGGTTGGAATAGATTGAGTTGTGTTTATTATTTGTGGTCTGAGTCCCAGAGCAAAAAGAACATTTGTATCCTGAAACTGCTCACTGTTTAATTTTCAGGAGAAGAATTCCAGTTCTGAATACATGTTAACAATACTAACGATCACAAAAGAGAAAATAATCTTGAGGAATAAGTTTGTTGGAGTTATGCTGCAGTTACTCCCTGTGGTAAGGTAGTGAGAATGGTTCAGGTGGTTGTTGTAACTGCGACTGTGTCAGGTTGGGACTTAGCAAGCACAACCACAGAACACCATAAACATAAATATGATGGGGAGAAATGGGCAGTTTGGGAACTGGAAGACTCTCTGCAGAAAGAAAACTCATGTTTTCTCACAATTAAAAACTGATCAGTTTTGCAGTTGCAAAACTTACCTACTTCCAGGTAAGATGAAAATCAATATTCATATTACATTCTCTAAAGAAAACTTCTTACATTTCCCCCCTACATTTTATAATTAAGTCTTACAGCTCTTTAGAAGCACATACTTTTAAAGATTTGCTTCACATGTTGTAAGTGTTCTCTTAAAGGGATTCAAATTTTTCTTTCTTTTTTGTTAAAACCCGGAAGCCTTTCAGTAATGTGGGAGGTTTGAGAAACATTGTGCTAGTATGACAAGTGAAAAAAAAATCAAACAATTTACTTTTTCTATATTGCATATATGTTTATGTATTTAACTATAATTTAAGACTTCAGGGTTTCCAAGCGGTGCAGCTTGGATTATCCCAGTTAAAGAAGTTTCTTCATTTGCTGACAGGATTTTAGGATAATGAGCACATTTACTGAGAACTGAGAAAAGTCTGCTAATAGGTAATTTCTGCTCAGACAGAATCACAACTATGTTTGTGAATTGCTGTATAACAGTAACTCTTGGAAACTTTGAAATGGTATTTTGCAAGCAGTTCTGAATACTGGGGGTTTTATAACTAATCTAAAAATTCTGTAACTCTATGTATTTAGGTAGATAGAAGTGATCCTAAAGAACCATGTTTTGAGGGAGTAAGACTGGAAATAATGCTGGATAGCGAAACATGGAAAATACCCTTCTTCAGTGGAAAAAATAACACAACTGCATAGAACTGTTTGATATCCAGCCTTGTTGCAATTGGCAGGAGGTAGAAAGGTAACTAAGCCTTACCTTGGGCATCAAAGCTTTACACGTCTTCCGTTTTTATGTCATAGGACCCATCCCACCATGTCTCGGTGATGTCAATGAGATCGTAGCGCTGCAGGTGTGCGCATGTCTCTAACTCATCGTTTATTCCCCATGCTGTGCACATTTGCATTTAAATTATTTTTTCAGAATATATACTGAATTTTCCATGTTTTACATGGTACCTGATTGAGATTTTCCATGTGGTGTTGTGTAATTTTTACTTGATAAAGATGACATTCTGTGCGTATAACCAGTTATAATACCAATATTTAATGTCATTTGCAATGAGCAATCAGACAACGAAGTGAGGAGTCTGATCACCATAAAAAACATCAGCAAATTGATTGATGCCTTAGGTGACCTCATCATTTTGGATGCTGCTCATGGAAAAATCCAACAATTCCAGTTTGC